TCCCCTCAGGCCGCCCCTCGTGCCGCCCGCCCGGCCCGTGCCCCTGTTGTGCTGCCGCCCGGCCCCGGCAGCTTCCCCTGCTTCTCCCCCCATTCTCCTGAGGCTCCGGACAGACCCCACGCACCTTTCCCGCTCCCTCTCCCCGCGCTGACAGGCGCTGCTCCGGGGCTGGGCCCGCGCCGCTCCCGCTGCCGGCCAGGACTGCGGCCCAACGCGGGAGGTTTGAAATCTGGGATAACCGGTAAATATGGCAACGTACTTAGCTGCTGTGATGCTGTCAATGTTTCGGTATGATACAGGCCCCTAGACAGCTCTTTTTGAGACTGCAAGGTTGTTTTTACGGAATCTATGTAATTATTTCAGCCTTTGAAGTAATTCAAAGTGAACAAATTTTTCAGTGAGCTCCTTGAACACACTTCACTTGTGAAGAACTGCCAAGTGTGTCATTACACACACGTACAAACCACCAGGAACTGCTTCCCCCAGGTTGCCTTGTCTCTGTGTGCCATACAAGACCCTCCTTCAGCTTTCCCTTGCCAAACTTCTGGATTATGCCATCAGTGGAAACTGTTCTAACAAAAAACAGATACACCTTTGTGGTGATCTGGTTTGGATATTTTGTTCTGAGAGCTTTTTAGATAAGGCCCGTTTTGACAAAGGCCTCTGCCTCTGATAATGCACTTGATAAAGTACAATGCAATATGGAGACAAGTGTTGTCCATCTGACCTGTTCATTAACCAGTTTATTGTGTTTATATTAAATATATTACTGCTGAAGTGCAGTTTTGAGTGTCTGCTAAATATAAAATGACGGATTCTGTTTGGAATTTGGAAAGTCAACAGCTCCTTGCACTTCAGGTGGTGAGCGAAACAATCTGTGGTGGTGAGTTCTGCAGCCCGATTCCTCCCCGGAATAGACCTAAAATCCTTGTTTCCTTCTCTGATGCTTGACCACCTCCTTCTTCTCTTCCAACAACACAGCTGCTGCTGTTCTCATGGTGATGATACTTAAGCTCTCTGTTTGCCTTTTGGCACAAAAGGCTGGAACAAGGTAGTTGTTTTCTGAATCCACAGGCATTGCTTGTTGAAATAGAGCAGTATCACCTAAATTAAGCTATCTTGAGAAGAAGAATGGACACATGAGAACATAGGGAAACTTCATGGAAAGAGTTTGTTGCATTGGGTGATATATTTTATAATGCTCTACACTTTGCTTGCCTTACCTAATGGAGTTTAAGTTTCAATAGAAACTGCTTTAAGATGAAGGAAAAAAATTATTTTTTTTTCCCAAAACTAAGACCTGTTAGGCATTTATGATCTAATGATGTATCTAAAATGCTCATACCAATCTTTTGCTAAATGAAAAAAAATGCCATAATCACAGAAAAGTAGCAGGGTTTGAAAAAGATAAGGAACCAAGGCCTCAAAGGGAAAAAAAAAATAATTGTCTTTGCATCCTGAAAATGTATCAACATCTTGAAAGTACCTTTAGCTACTTAGAAGGAACTGTGGAAAAGTAAGAGAAGTGTCCTAGAGTCTGAGGCTTACAGGTTTCTCCTCCATCTTGGTAGACACTGTGAGAGACATTGTACCACTGAGGGACAACATGAGAAAGATGGGGAGGGTTAAAAAGGAAACATGAACATATACAATATGCAAGTTTTATTTTTATCAGCACTGTGCACATATCTTGGAGAGTGGAGAAGCCAGTATATCCCTGTAGTAATTTCTCATTCTGCTCACAGAGACTGTGCTTTTGCTAGCTTAGTACAGCACATGGAGAAGGAAAAGCATTCCAACAACTATACCAATTCTAGAAAATATTCTGCATCACTGCCAACATAAAGCTAAACCAAGGGCCACTGAGGGGAAAGGCCCTGTTCTACTATGAAGTAATCCTGAGGCTGGAATCCACAAAAAGATGCACATCAGCACTGCCCACCATGTCTACAGGAACTGAAGACACTTGGTAAAACTCAATATTGGGCACTTAAGCAAAAGAACAAACATCCTGCCCAATTTTTGGCTGTGGAACATTTTAGTCTGGAATTAAAGCAATAACCTGTTACAGAATTCAATTTCCAGACATCAGATAATGAATTTCTGGGCTTTGCCCCTTGTAAAATAGCATGCAAGTTAAATCTGAAATGCCTGTCTTTTATATAGACTATGTTTTAAATGCTATCATCTACAAAACTCTGGTCAGCTATCCTTATGCTATGCATTAATTCCAGAGAATAGCTGGAAATCCCGTGGAAAGTCTGATGTAATTACATCTGACTTTAAATCTTTGACTGTTTTAATATACTCAGGTGACCTAAATAGCATCACACAGAAAAGAATTTTAATTTAAATTAAGAAAGGATAATTGTCTCATCTTAAGTTCAGTTTCTCTGAGAAGTTACTGCTCAAAACAATCCTGTATGCCTTGTTCTACAGCCATATTCTTTGTATTTCCACACTGTAAATACTCCATGGTAAATTGCAATGGAAGCTTGGCTTAGTGCAACTTCTCCTGGCTCTGTGGTACAGCTTCTTGGTTAAGAAAACTGATCTTACTCTCAGTGTTTGGCATACATGCTTTACTTTTACAGCTGATTCAGCTGTGTCCGCTGCTAGTTTAATGGTGATTTTTCTTCAATATGAATTTCTGTCATGCGCAAATAACTAATGCAAGGGATATGTTGCCAATTGTTCTTTAAAATGTCTTGATCAAACAGTCTTTCAAGAGGTGTAAGTTATAGCTTGGATTAAATCTTTTGGAGTTACCCTTAATTTAAGATGGTTGGTAAAAGCCATTGAGCTGCTTTGTACAATCAGGTAGCCACAATAATTTGGGCCTTCACCAAAACTGGACAATCATTTCCCTCAACAAAGGTGCCTAAAAAAGTACAGGAGGCAAAGTGAAGCTAGGAAAAACTCGACAAGAGGAGATAAAGATAGTAGGACAGGGGCACTGATAGTGTGATCCTGAGAAACAACAGAGAGAAATGTCTGAAAGCCAGAAGAGGCCTGGGATTATGATGAAATAAACCATATAAAATTATTTGATTCTTTATAAATGTGAGGAAACAGAATTCTATGCTTTTCTTAATAAATAAACCCATGCAATGGTATTCTCAATGTCTTGTTTTAACAAAGCATTTCATACACCGGCAAATTTTCTTTAACCTCTGGAATAAAAAAAGGCTAAAGATATGGATTGCATCAGTGTTCTTATGGAGACTGCATTCAACAGCATGACTGGGCTTACAAGCATGGATAACATCCTATCTAACCTCCAGATTCAGGCAGCCATAAGCATGCTGTACACCTTTTTTTCTAACTATCAAACTGATGCTATTTTTAAAAAAACCCACATAGAGATCATTTTCAAATGAAGACGTTTAAGTGTAGCATTTCATTAAAGAAAAAAGTGACAACATATACTTTAGCTTTCTATTTCATCTTAAATCACATAACTAGATTATTGCAGTATTCTTTAAATTCAGAAGTCCCTTTCCCAAACGGCAGCGAAAATAGCTTTTCTCGTGACTGTTTCACTTCTAAGAAAGCCACTTTTTTTCCTCTTTGATGTCAATCCTTCCCATGCACTGTCATCATTTTATCAAGGTAATAGTCTATTTTCTTTCTTTTTCCTTTTTTCAGTATTTTCTCTAATTTCCTTCACTAAGGGAGAAGTTCTTGATTCTGGTGATCAGGGCATTTGAGCCATGTAAGCTAAAGCTAAAGAACTGAGGGACAAATCCCACATAGTTCAATTTCTACTTAAGACTGGGTAGGTTTTGAAGGTGGATTTTTTTCTTGTGTAGAGCAGTGGACAAATGCTGGGTCTATATTTAGAGATACTTGCATTTGATTAAGAGTATGTAAAAGACAGGGGTAGTAAAGGAAAAAGTCAAAAGTAGTTTGAAGGCTGCAGAAAAATAACTGTGTAGCTGAAGAGCTCATTATGATTCATTTTATCAAAAGTGACCTCCTTACAGAAAAAAAGCCCTAATGCAAATACTCAGACCAATCTGTTAACATACAAGGTGATCTAATGAGCTCTTCTGGCTTGGAACAGAAGACCTTAAAGGAAAATATCTTTGCTTTAAGTGAGTATGGGTCACCTTGTTTGTTTATTATTGATGAGTTCAATATGGCAAGGCTTCCTGTGCAGTCTTTGCCCTACACCTCATCTGGGCAGGTAATCAAGGAACTGGAAACACAGTAATCCTGAAGAAAAGCCACTTTTGGCTGCTTTTTGATCTGAAGCTTTGGTTTCTGAAAAAAAAAACCCATAACCATACTAGGGAAGTTAACTGTGTGATGTTTAGGGCAAACTGTAGGATATCTAACCTGCAAGCCCATACCAAGCCTATCATAAGTATAAAGCCAGGCTTTTGAGAGTTGTTCAGAAGGAAAGCAAACTGCCTGTTGGAGGGAGAGCTTGAGCCAAACAAAGGAGCTGTGTAGCACACCAAGCTTCACCACACTGAACCATGCCTTTGTGGGACAATGGCTTGAAATAGTGAATAACAAAAATGAGCCCCTGCCAAAATTTTTCGGCATTCTTTAAATCTTTTTCTCTACTTCTGTGAGATCATCCTCTGCTTCAAAAGTTTTCCTGCTGCTCTAGAACTGACAGCAGATTAAAACCATATTTAGTATTAATTATTAAAGAAATAAAAGGGAGAAAGAGTAATTATCATTCTAACTGGACAGAACCAGCTCCCATGGTCCAAGGACCAAGGAACAAAGTTGGAGCTGCTATTAGTGAAAAGCTTCACTAAAGACCAAAGATTCTTTGTGTTCAGGAGCAGTCCTACAAAGAGAAACAGTTGCTCGTGAAAAATGCCATCCTAGAGCCATACACTTGGCAGTTGTCACATTTGCTGTTTTCAGAATGGACACACTGGTAATGTTTGCCTGTGATACTGCCATTAGAGAAGGTATTAATTATGAAAAATAGCTGTTCAGCTTGGGCTTCTCAGTAAGGGCAAATTTTGATTTCTGCAGCAGGACTTGGCCTTTCTTTTCCCTCTCTTCCTGAGAGTTCAGAGTGTAACTAAGTGAGGAAAGTGGAAGAGCAGTCGTGGGGGGAGAAACAGCAGGAACTACCATACGTAGAAGAGATAAATTTGGTATCTTGTTCTTTCATTTATAGCTTCATCTCAGATGGAAATTTCTTAATAGCTTGCTTCCAGCTGTGTGGCATCTTCACCTGTCCCATGAGAGTCTCAGGGCAGAATTAAAAATACAGATATGCTTCAGGCAGAAGCTGCATCCATCGTGATTTGTTCTGAAGCTGATGATGTGGTGGAGGTGCAATGTCAATCTGAAAGCAACGAAGTGAGCATTAGCAACAGAAGAAAACTGAAAGGGAGAGTTTAGAGACAAAGTTGAGGAACTGAGCAATTGCCAGAATTCTGCAAAGCGTTACACAAGCTTTGCCTCGTGTTTACTCCATTGAGGTGTCGCAGTGCAATGTCCCGTTTTCTTCTTTCCCCTTTGTCTGCCTTACCACTGTGTACCACAGTGCTGGGATAGCCACTTCCTTCTCACCACAGGGCCTCTAACACTGACTTGGATGTAATTTCATGAAACACTGTTTCTGTGATTCTATATAAACTTTGCATCTTTCATTCTAATGTTCAGTGAAATGGCTGTAGCAGTGTTGTAGCTGTGCAGTCAGGAGCAGCAAGGTTCGAAAAGAGGTAATAACCAGAAATATTGTGAAGATATACGAGTAGTACTTCTTCGTATCTGTGTTTGAGTATTTCTCCTTTGTCTTCTGTTGCATTTAATCTGTTATTATCTACACATATTGGAAATGCTTAATTGCAGGATTATCCTTTTCCATTAAAAATATCTTTCAATTAATCCTTTTTTTTATAAAGG